GACGAGGAGCTCAACAAGCTGCTGGGAGGGGTGACCATCGCTCAGGGCGGGGTGCTGCCTAATATCCAGGCCGTGCTGCTACCCAAGAAAACCGCCGCTGGGGGCGCCACTAAAAAGTGAAGAGACTGTTATTTCATCTGACGACCCAAAGGCTCTTTTAAGAGCCACCCACAGTATCTGTGAAAGAAACTGGACCCTCACCACTGCCGAGTTAATTTTAATTTCCGGTAACACAATATTCACCCTGCCATCAGTTAGTGTTACTGAGCTATAACCGCCTGGACGGAATGTATCCATGCGGCAGTTTCCTGTAATTGCATTGGAAAGATCCGACACTAGTGGAGGAACATCAATAAATTTAGAAATCGGGAAATAATGACCCCGGTAGCCGCAAAGCGATTCAGTGTCTCTTGACATGATGTTTTCGACCAGATATAACTATCTGCGGGACTGTACCCCCTCCGCATGTGCTTTCTTTCCTCATCTCGGGTCTCGGCTCTCAATATGAGGTTTTGGGTGGCTCTGAAGAGAGAATGGCGGTTGTATGTTTAGAACTGAAGGAGTTATTGAACGTGTGCTGTATTTTGTGTCGAATGTTTGATTTAAAGATTTGAGATTGTTTCATTTGTTTTATTTCAACATTGGTTTTTTGATGAATGAGCTGAAACGGGTATTTAAAACAAACTAGCATCTAATCGATGGTTCTGGCGATTTAAGTCTCGGATTACTGATACCAATGTTCATGGACTAGAATTTAATCGAGTGGATTGGGGTGGTTTATATCTAGATATGCGTGTGAACTGCAGGCTTCAATATCCTTTCGCAATTTAGTGTTGTACTGTTTGCAATGCTCCCTAGGTGGCACTGTATCATATCACATACAATCACGAGTAAATAGTGAATATGAGACATGCATCTGCACCCAGTGGTGAGATGGGAGTGAATTCATCCACCCAGGAGCTTTATTTGATTGCAATTTTTGTTTTATTTTATATTTAGACAATCGAGATTTGAAAGTCATAACAGGTTAGTATGGAATTGGAGAAACTGTTTATTTGTGGAATGAACTCAAATGAGTGGCAGATGGAGTTTACATCAGGTAAATGTGAGGTGCTACTTTTTGGAAAGCCAAATCAGGCCAGAACTTGCACAGCTTGATGGGGAATGTTGCTGAACAAAGAGACGTTGCAGTGCAGATTAATAGTTCTTTGAAAGTGGAGTTGCAGGTAGATGGGATAGTGAATAAGGTGTTTGGTATGCCTGTCTGTATTGGTCCGTGCATTGAGTATGGGAGTTGGGAGGTCATGTTGCATCTTTACAGGACATCTGTTCAGCCACTTTAGCAATACTGTGTGTAATTCTGGTCTCCCTGCCATAGGAAGGATGTTGTGAAACTTGAAAGGGTTCAGAAAAGATTTACAAGGATGTTGCCAGGGTTGGAGGGTTTGAGCTGTTGGGAGAGGTTGAATAGGCTGGGGCTATTTTTTTTCCTGGAACCTCAGCAGCTGAGGAGTGACCTCCTATAGAGGCTTAGAAAATCATGAGGGAGATGGATAGGGTGAGTAGCAAGGTATTTTCCCCAGGGTGGCAACATCCAAAACTAGAGGGGGTATAGTTTTAAGGTTTGAGGAGGAAGATAATATGTGACCGATGGGTGACTTTTTCAGAGGGTCGTGCATGCGTGGAACGAGCTGCCAGAGGAGGTTGTGGAGGCTGGTACAATTACAACGGTTAAAAAGCATCTGGATGTGTATATGAATAGGAAGGGTTTAGAGGGATAAGGGCCAAATTCTGGTAAATGGGACTAGGTTAATTTAGGCTGTCTGGACCAACTCGTTCATGTCGACCAAAGGGCCTGTTTCCAAGCTATACAATTCTACGACTATGACAAACAAGTAAATTCATTGGCTGATCTGACATGTAAGCTTTTCTGTATATTCACGTGTGAAGCATAGAAAGGAATCCAGGCATTGTGAAGCACTTAATTATCTCAGAGCACTTCCTGGAAGCAAGTTGTGGGAACAGCATCCTCATCAATCAAAAGCCAAATGACTTCAAACAACTCCCCATGTCCTTCTGCCAAACAAACTGACATTTTCTAAAATGCAAGGAAGTATGAATGAGAGAGCTTTTAACATGCTTTCCCTGAACAGACAGAATTCCAGCCTTATTTTCCACATGTGCAAGATTCAGTTTAACATAAATTAAACCAGAACTTTCAATGTCCCTGCACCCATTTCGAATCCCACCCATTGGTTTGTTGTCCATTTTATCAGAATCCCTGTACCCTCCTGAAGTTAGCTCCACTTCTTTTCCTTGTTTACACCATTGCCAAATTGTGTCATCTCAAAACTTATGCTAAGACCTGGGATCCTGTGCACAGTCAGCTACTCAAAAAAAAACCTGACTTTATCCCTTCACCATGAATACATTTGTCCCTCACATGGCCATTTAAGCTGCCCCATCATAATTCTGACAAGAATTGGAGCAGAGTTATATATAAGTAGGGGAGGTTATATAGAATAAAGCTTTGTCTGAATAAATACTTGAAGCATATCCAGGATAGGTCAGTTGAACCATTGTGATTCTGGGAATGTGCACTGTGTTTTTACAAATGTTGCGTAAACTAACAAGTGGTCGCTGACCCTATGCACACCTTATTCTTGGATGCATTCACATGCATCCTGTTTTCCCTGCCTGTACAGAGAGAGAGCATATTACACACCAGAGAGTCATTTTTTAGCTCCTTCTGTGTGTTCAAGTTCCTTTTTAATACTCAATTAGTGCAGGAGATACAAACCCTGGTGGAATACGAACCCTGTGTTTCACACCCAGCAAACAAGTGTCCCCATCACTTGCCAGCAAGCAAAAGAAAATTATTTCCCTCTGAGTTGCGCAAATAGATTTTACATTTTACATGTGTTTCCTTTTTTTTATTAATTTGTAAATCTCTGCAGGTGTCCTGGCTGGTGGTAGGATGCTGTAAATGAGGCTTTCTGCTGCCAGTGAGAGGCTTTCAAATTGAACCGAGATAAACCAAAACAGCTGCTGGACTTTCCACCACCAGCAAAAACACGTGACCAGGGCAATGCCAACATGAAAAAAGTGACAGGAAGTCAGGATTAAATTAAAATGGAGTTGGAGGGCTGCTTGTGCTTTATTCATTTTGAAACTTCCTCTCTGGGAGAGGGAGGGATTTCTTCTGTCAATATCCACCTTAAGTCTGGTACACAAGTGAGAGTTTCACTCTGCTTCTGACAGTCTGCTCCTGTGAGTAAATATGGGATATATTGTTGAACAACTAGGGTATCAGGTTGAATTGTACTTCATTTATTATTTTGTATTGGATGAGACTTTTTTTTTCCACATGTTCTGATACATTGGGTGACAGAGTTTAATTATGCGTCTGACTGTCTCCAAGTGAGATTATTCTTTTAATTTGGTTAATGAGGTGGTCAGTCACTGAAACCCAGTCATGTGAGGCTGCAGAGATTCTTTAGCAAAAATAAAAACAGATCTTCATTATGCAAGACAAAAACAAAGAAAAACAACTTGTTTTGCTGTGCTTAAATATGTTCCCAGCCTATTTCCTAACAGCACCATTCAGTCCCTTGAGCCTGCTCTGCCATTCTGCAGGATCAGAGCTGATCTGACATTCTTCATGGCTGCTTTCCTGTGATTTCCCCATAATCCTTCATCAAGAATCTATGTCAGCCTTCAATATACACAAGGTCCCACTTTGCCTCACTGTTCTGTGGCAAGGAGTTCCATAGTATCTCAACCCTCGACAGAAGAAATTCCT